CCCCAAAACCCCAAAACCCCAAAACCCCAAAACCCCATATGTCATCTATGGCTACAATATAATGAAATTAAACTTAAAATCAAGAGCCATTATCAAATCGGCTTATTATATTCAAGAGTTACAGTGGATTCATTACCATCTACTCTATTTTTAAGATTGAGATCTCTTTCCCGCTTTATTTTTTAGAATTCTAGGAAAGCAGGATCTACCTTTTTTTGTTTCAATTTCCTCTTTGAAAATGATCTAGACTTATCAACTTTTTACTATCTATTAAAAACTTTTAAAATGAGAATATTTACTTGATTTTGCTACTTTCTTCAAGAATCGTTTTGACATCTAGATTTTATCTTAAGTCAAAGTTTTATAAAGTTTTTTCGTTCACTTTAGTCAAGATTTTGGATACATTGTCCAGTTACTGCATCTTTCTCCCCATAAACTCTTTGATCCTATAAGAATTACTATTAAAATATTATTATACCCAGAAAGTGTTATGCTGTGATTTTTAGCTTGAGCTTCAAGGGTTTAAGGGATCTATTATTGGTCTTGGTTAGCTTCATTGAAACTTTGATTAACCAGGCCAGTAATTACATTATTACAGTCTACTCCAAGCATTTCTTATTGATTCTTTAACCCTCCTATAAGCAAATTCCTTTAAAACTTCAGCACTTTTAAATGAGTGGGAACAATATCATCTCCAGAGTTCCCCACATATTTGCAATAATAATAAATGTTCATAATAGCTCCTTTTAGAATTGCTTTAGTAAATAACTTAATAAACTGAGTCTTTTTGACAGTCCCATCTACTAAAAATTCATTAATCATGACTTTAATCACTCTATCTATCTCTATCTCTTTCTTTATAAGTTTCTTTTCAAGTAAAAACTTGGCAAAAGCCTTCTTTGAAATCTCTTTTTAAAAATTAGTATCTAGCAAGCTCCACCATTCATTGAGTAATTCAACTTGATTAATAAGCTTTTCATGTGGAAATTTGAAATTAGTGTTTTCATCAGACTTAAGTCCTTGCTTTTTGTATTACTCTTTAACCAGTCTTTTGACCAGCGTGCTCATATCTTACTACTAATCAATCATCATGAGATGAGGAGTCAAACTAAAATTTTCAGACTCACCTTTCTTTCGATCTTCTATTTCAAATATCTTTTAAAGTATCGCTAAAAACAACTTGCCACCAAACTAGCCATACTTCTCCTTTAAGTCTATTTTGAATTACTTCATTCGCTCGCTGACTCTCAATCTTTCTTTCTAATCAATAACTGCACCACTTTCTATTTTTATCTCTGCAACAGTCATTTCTTTATAAGTTTGATATTTATGTCTAATGTCCTATTGAATTTCTTCATAGATATTTGACTGCTTGATATTTTCATGCTCCTTTTAGAGATTATCTAAATTCTTATGATAGTCTTTCATTATCAAATCTATATCTATTTGCTTTGTAGGTTAAAATTTGAAGTTAATGTATTATTCAAATTCTTCCTCTGATGAGCTTTTAGATATATTTGCTACATTAAACTTTGATTTTACATGCTTAATACTTTGCTCAAATCCTGATCTTATCTTATTTAAACTTTTCCTTGAATTAGAATTATCAAAAACTTCGAGCCTTGTGATATCTAGATTTTGAGTAGTTTTCTTTTTCTAGTCTGTTCTAAATGAGCTTAACTTTCTGATGGCAGAAAATTAAGTGGATTCAATGGGTTATTTCTCATCTTATGATTCATAAAAATCTCTTTCTATAGATTTATTTTCATCTTTCTTTGTAAGAGCCTTCATTAAACTTATCTGTTTTTGTAGATTCTCTAATTTGAGTCTTTTTTCCTATATCTCAGTATTGAGCACTTTCAAGATCTTATCTTCATAGTCATTACTTTTGAATAGGCTTATAAATTCTTCTAGCATTACTTCTTTGTTCTTTAGTTCACTAGGATTTATATTAGTCAAGTTCTCTACTTTTACTATGTATTTGAAAAACTATAGCTAAATCAAATTGAACGGGTTACATCAAAAGCCACATCTTCATTGGCAGCCAATCCAAGAGCAATAAAATTCTTTATAAGTACCTTGAGTTTTATCTTCCCATATTCTTTCTCATCCTAATTTATGAATAAAGTCTTATTTTACCCAAAGTCTAAATAACTCTTTAGCAAAGTTTTATATCTCTTATTCAGATTGCTTAACAGACTATTTTCTTTCTCTAAATTTAGAATCCTCATTGTTTGTAACTGATTAGTCTAACTATAATTTAAGATACTTTAAAACTTTATCCTTACATTCAATTAAGATTTAAGCTAAACTTACTAGCTATCATCTTAATGCTATTTCATCCACTTATGCATTTTACCATTGATCATCTATAATACATAATCAGTGAGTTAAAATTATAGTTAATACATTGTTATGAGCTTGAAATAATGTTAGTTTTGAGTTAGCATATCTATCAGTAGCTTTCTATTAGCCAAGAGGATTATCAAATTTGATTCTCTCAAGAGTATTCAGCTTTTCTGGTTTGTTTTACTGCAATTTTTTAACTAAGGGAATTTCTAAATCTCCACCTTTAGGACTACTCTCTTATATTTTTTCTTTTTAACCATGCTATTTAATATTGTCATTATTATAAATCTCCTAAGCACAAAGAAGATGATAAAATCCTGATTACAAACCTCGCTTGGATTAAAAGTAATCATTAGGCTTATTTGCTAATAAATTTGCCTTATTATAAACTCTCTTTTTCTCTTCTGACCTTGATTTTACTATGCTAGTTATGTGATCATAATTCGCTTTCTTATAAGATTGAATCCCATTGCTCCCATTATTCAATGTTTAATTAAGGTATGAACTCATCATACTTGAGTCTTAGAGGACTGAGTTATTATGAGTTTTATTCTATTAAGTTTAATAGTTCTTTATTTAAGGAAGCGTGGTGTTTAGCTTGTCTGATATATTGTGAGCCTGATTTATAACCGAAATATTAGCCCTAGATTCTTTAATGTATGATTTGTTTTGCATAGTTTCCTGCATGAAATCTCTCATCTTAAAATGCTTAACAAATGTATCCTATCTTGATTAAAAGTTGCTGTTATGCTGTAATATCTGTTCTAACTTTACAGCCTCATTTTTAAGTGGCTAGATTTAAGTTTGAGATAGAATTTCAGATTCATTTAGATTTTGAGACTCAATATTTGATTGAAATAGATAGGGATTAGAAAGCTCATGCTTTGACTCAATTAATCCTCCCATTGCATTGTTTAATGTATCTATCGTTATTGTTGATGCCTTATTTTGTAAGAATAACTTATCATAAAAATTCTTATATTTCACCATCATTTTTTTATCATATATTGACAACTAAGAATCTACTTCCTATTATGTTACTTTTTGACTCTAATTTGCTCTTTCACGGAATTTAGTTATCTTCATTATTGAATTTCTACTTTCATTGTTGTTTATTTACTAAGCCTGCTATTTGTACTTAATTTTAATTATTCTTACCTGCCTCTCAAGTGGGGTAATAAGCTTATTTTAAAGATTCGATTCAACTCTCTGAAGCATAGTCTTCACATCTCTAATATTCTCAAGTGTTGTCACATCGAAACTTGGTTAAAAATTTCTTCTGCTTAAGACCGATCCAGATATTGTTGACGACATTGTATAATTATATTTTATATTTATATTTTAGTATTGATGAATTCCTGAATAATAATTGCTTTTTGGGGTTTTGGGGTTTTGGGGTTTTGGGG